ATACAAAGCTCTTTATTAAAATAGCAAAAAATAAATTAGAAATAGCAAGCACAACAGAGAATAATATAATGCTACATAGGAATCTAGAAAATTGCAATTCACTATAGAATTAACTTATAATTATACAAATTACAAGTCTTTATACATGACTAAATTCAAGTAATACAGAAGAAGTGCTTACAAAAATATGCATAAACCAAGGCCTTCTGTTAATAGGAGCAACAGAAAATACATGGCATGAAAATCCTTCTAAACTTTGTAATAAAATTTGGAAAAACAATCTAGCATGTTACACAATGTTAAAAGCTAAAGAAATACAAATTATATTAAATTTTGGCAACCCAAATCTATATCTAAATAGAAAAGGAAACAAAATTGCAGAGTTGTTAGAAAATAACTTTACAAAAAAGGTAATACTAGCATTAGAGAAGTTGAAGTTAATATATATAGAACAGCTAATGAATAAGTTTGGTAATCAAATGTTATCATGACAACAACTCAAACTTTTACAAGGCTTGTCATGCAAAGGCAAACAAGCAGAATAGTTTAGTAAAATAGAAGAAAAAATAATAGAAAATAAGCAAAATAGAAGAATAGAAAAAAAGTGGCAAACACAAAAGCCAAATGTGCATGCACTTGAAATTCAGCTAGAGCCATGCTCAGAAGATAGAAGAAAGAAAGAATAGGTATTTATAAAATCAAGAAAAAAAAAAAAAAAAAGGAAGAAGAGAACTTAGAGCTATTTGTCAAAAAAATTATTGCTAGTACACAGAAAAAAGCTCTAACAGAATATTGAAAACAAGACATTGAACCAAAAAGTTCAAAGGTTTTTTTAAACAAATATAATAATTGCAGTTTAAACCAAAAGATAGAAGAAGAAAGCTGTACAAGATGGGAAAATAAAAACAAAATTTAAGGTTCAATATCAAAATTTGTAAGAAAACAAAAAAACCCAATCTTAGATTTAAGCTATGAAATGTTTGCATAATTGGGTAACAAAAGAGAAGCAATACCAACAAAAAGTAAACAAAAAGCAGAATATATACAATGCATGAATCTGAAAACAGAAATTATACAAAAGCAGTCAATAAGTCAGGCAATAAAGATAGAACTTATTTGAAAGAAAGACTTGAACCAAGAAAATCTAGAAAATACTCTAGTATTCTATATAGATGGATCATTAAAAAAAGATTCAAAGAAAGAAATCTCAAGTTCAAATTGCATAGGAGCAGGCTGAATACAAGTAGATACAAAAGAAGAAAAAATACTTGATGAAGGTTACTTTGAAGTATGAAATTGGCTATTATCAACAAGACCTAAGCTATTAGCAATTTGGTATGTTTTGCTTACTGTTTCAAGCAGAAAAAAGGTTAAAATATTCATAGACAGTGCAACAGCTATTGCAAATATAAAAGGCAAAAATAGCTTTTTATCTGCTAAACAATGTTTAAAAAGAAAAAACTTTAATATATTAGAAAATATTAGGAATAGTGTAGAATTAAAAAAACTTAAGCTAGAATTAGTTAAAGTTAAAGGACATAGTAATAATAAATAGAATATTAGAGCAGATAAATTAGTGAAAAAGAGATCTAAATTAGACAATATAGACAAAATAGTTAAAGAAACATCACAAGAATCTAGCATTAATCTTTGTTGAAAAAAAAGGTAATAAAAGTTCTTACAAGACAATTCCTAAAAGAAATTTTAAATCTTAAAATAAGTATAGAATAGAGTTTCACATCAGCAATCAAAAAAACAAAACTGAATAAGAACAATAGAGCATATAATTGGTCATATCTGTGGAAAAGAATGAAAGACCAAAGTGAAAGCAAATGTATAAGTATAAGAAAAAATAAGCAAATAGGGCCTCTGATAAAGTGCATTAATAAAAAGTTGTCTTTGGCCAAGACACTAACACAGCATTACCCTAATCTCTATAAGAATGCATATTGCATGCTTTGTCAAGAAGATGAAGAAGAAGACTAAGACCATCTAACAACATGTAAACATTATAAAAATATATAAAAAAATATAGAAGAAATATTGGTCAGTTTGGGGGATGTAGCGATCTAGTGAAGTGGATAGGTTGTTAACCTCCAAGTGGCAGGTCTAGAGTTCAAATCCTAGTGATGGCAAAAATTTGCAATTCTTTCTATGTTACAACTAACTGTCTTTCGTAATTGGTTGGGATAGGATACCTGTAACCTGTGTCATACCAGCCTGACTGGAAGGTCTAGGCATTCATGCAACATTGTACAAAGGAACACAAATCGGTACCGGGTGGTGTGAACCCAAGATAAGTCATTAGGCCATGTAAATCATAGAAACCAGGTAGAAGAACAGAAGCCTACTTGGAAAACCTAAATAGAAAGGTAACCTGAACTTTCAATGATGCTACTATAAAGACTAGACCTATGAAATGGAGCTAAAACTTGTGAAACCAGACAAAGAGCTGGCCTTTGAGAAGGGGCCAAATGAAACCAACCAGACTGCCAGAATTTCTGGGTTCTGGAGAAAAAGATTACATGCTGGCAAACATGTAAACCAAAGGTGTATAGTTACATCTAGAGGTCTGATCTGTTGAATAATTATTCGAATATTCAATGAATATTTGGATATTCGAATATATAATTATTTTATCAAATTAAATATTGAATATATTTCATATTTACCAATTAATTCAATGAATATTCAGTAATATTCAGTGATACAAAGTAATAAAATTAATTGTTATTTTCCTTTTTTCTACATGTGCTATTCTTTAATTTTACTAAATATTTTTGTCTTTTTTAGCATTCACATCTCTATTGTGGCTTGGCAGCAGATCTTTTTACAACAATTTGGAACTTTGCACAGAGCTTTCCTTAGTGATTTGGCTATGATTTGGTTATGAAACAGGCATCATATGCGAAATGTTTTTCTTCAACAATGTTCAGCCATTTTGGCTTAAAGTTTGCGAATTAAAGAAATTAACCTGATAATTATTTTTAATTTATTAATTTTTTTAAAAATGAGCCTTTTGTGTTTTTATATCTATGTATATAATATCTCAAAAGCTAGAAATTAACAGACGATAAACCTTCAGTTCTAAACCCTAATGTAAATGTATATGTTGTACTTAAATAGAAGTCAGAATCAAGACCATTCTAAAGTCTGAGTTAGGTGTTTGCTATTGATTAAAATTTGACCAAAATCTAGTGAAAAAAACTTTTTATATTACCTGTAATTAAAGTAGTAATGCAAAGTGTAATTCTAGCCTAAATTATGCTAACTAAATTAAAAATTTGTTATTGTTATTCTAAACCTTAAAATTTGTAAATTAAAAAAATAATAATGCAACTTTAATCATTTAAGTACTAGGATCATTTAAATAAACTTAGAAATATCTTATGAATACTATGTAAAGTAAAAATCTGGAATGAAAATTTAAGTTTTTACTACAAATTTAATCTTGAAGAATCGAAATATTTCACTTAAATTTTAATTTTCGAATTTTTAATTTAGTTGTGATAAATGTTATAAGATAGCAATACAAATGTTGTAAGATCAACACAGGAATACCTTCGAATGATTGGCATTCATAAATGGTAACCAGATTAAGATACTTGAAAATTTGAATAAAACTTAACTACAATTTAAATTCTAAAAATTTATTAAAATAAATTAAGGTATTTTTCCAATAATTTATAACTGACAAAAAAAAAAAATAAATAACATATTAGCATCTAAATATAAAAAATATCGCAGCTGATGCTAAAATTTGTGGTCTCGATTTGAAAATACAAGCTTGCTAAAATTTAAATATACACTTTAATTATAAATTCTGGCCCAAAATCCTAACCAAACCTAAAAAAAAAAAGGAAAACATTCCAAATTTTCATATTAAAATATGTTCAAATTTCAGCACCAGCTACTACAATAAATAATGTAAATATAAATACAAAAACCTACTTTATTTAGAAACATTCTAACTTCTCATTTGAAACAAGCAATTTCATAGATGATCGGATGTGAGAAATATACAAGATCTATTGTAATACCCAGAGGTATTAAACTCTATAAATATATAATCATTTAGTATATTTAAGTTAAATAGCTTATAAGAAAGTATGATCATTATAAATAGTTGAACCAACTAGAAAAAGAATTAACCCAACAACTAGCAACATGGAAAATGTTTATATTGTCTTACTGAGAGCATATGAAATACTTCAGAGACTGTCAAATGTAAGATCAAGAAAAAAAAAAGATACTACAAATAGATTTGATTGATACAGATCTTTTAATAAAGATTTATCTATTACAATAAATATATGACATTCCATTGTAATAAAATTGTAATCGCTATAAAAAAAAAATGCAATGAATTACAAAAATAAGTAGTATAGTTGCTAATAGTACAATTAACAAAAAAAAATGCTTTTGCTTAGTTCATATAAGCTCATCCATAACTTAATAGTATCGCTAGTAGCGATGATTTTAATGGCAATAATCTTATAATAGTAGTGAAGGTATTGGTTGCATAATCAAAAATTTTTCTTGTGATGTTCAGGATTATGCAAACTCGATGCATTTCAATGCTTTCGACGAAATGAACATGTCAGGACAGCTATTAAAAATTGAAAAAAAGCCACCACTTATATTAGTATTATATATTGCATATATCATATATTTTATTATTAGAACTTATGATACTTACATTGTATGAATTCAATATAATCAAATTATGAATAGTTGGATAATCTAGTAAAGTTCGGTTATAGCTTTTTGTAAATTCAATTTCTACAAATAATCATAATAGCAAGCTATATTTGCTTATAATTGTATGCAGTAATTTAAAAAAAAAACAGCAACAATAATTATTAATAAGCAATCATTGCATTTGTCGAATTTAAGATTGATTATACAATTAAGAGCCTAGTTCAAAATAAGTTACATATCAAAGGTTTTCAATTTTAAATGCAACCCTTGCTTCATTTTTAGGGCTGTTGTATTCATAGTATGCTAATGATACATTAGGAAAATGCCAACTCAATTTTCAAAGTCCTGTGCCAAGCACTGACACTCATAGACACAAAAGTGCCAGACAATTTAAGTTAGAACTTTTATGCCTACAGGCACAAGGTGCCCAACTCATTTTCATGCCTGCACCACAAAAATGCCTGACAGTTTTAAGCCAAGTCTTTGTATCTATGCCTTTCATTGGACGTTGATATGCACCAGAATTGTAGACTTTATTGATTCTGTGCATAATTGAATTTCTATAAAAAGTTGTGCAGAATTCATAAAATACTAAGTTGGTATCTCAAGGCATGTCATTAACATGCCTAAAATATGCTAATCATAAAAATAAGTATCATTCTTCATGAAATAATAGGTAGCAATTATCGTTTGCCTAATTGGTATATGATAAAAAGCAAATATTAAAATAATATATAAAGAAGTGTAAAATAACAGAAATCAAATATTAAAATAATATATAAGAAGTATAAAAGGCCTTACGATTGAATTAAGCAACAACTCAATCTTATATACAATAAAAATAATAATACTCATCTTTTGAACTATATCATCATCTTCAATTATAAATATTTTTAATTAGTATAAATAAAGCAATAATTATTGTAAATACATATATTAGATTCCTTATTATTGTACTGAAGTTTAAGACTCTTGTTCAATATATTTATGATGGAAGATAATGATCTACAATCCTCTTTGTCAGTTCAGTCATTCAATGAACCATATGCCAACTGATCTGAAAGCTCTATGTTAGAAAACACATATACAAGCGAAGAAAGCAACAATGAATTATCTGAAAAACCAGTGTATAAAAAAACAAAACTAGGCCATAGAGGTGAATCAAAAAAACAAAGCTGGGTGTAGAAGTATTTTGAATCTGAAAAAGTAATTGAAACTAAAAAAGAATCTGAAAATATCAAAATTGAGATTACATACAGCATTTGTCTTGTATTAGATGATTCAAGAAAAAATTGTAATATATAATTAAGGATAATAGGCGGATCGACCTCAAATTTAATATCTCAATTAACAAACACCCATGGTATTTGCAAGATAGACCTAAATTACATGAAGATGTATAAATTATTTTTTATATAGCAATTACAGTTAACTCTCTCTAAACCAAACCTAGATAAAATAAATATATAATTCTAAGCTAAACTTTAAAATTTAAATAAATCTTTTTTAATATAGGTGACCCTATTAATAAAATATATTAATCAATTGATTTTAGAATAGAGTAATCTATATTAAAGAGATCTCTGAATCCTTTTTTCATTTTTTTAATAAATCCCAAAGGTTTGATATAGAGAGAATTGATAATATTAGTTTTTGTAGAATTATATAATAATAAAAATTTTTTTATCTAGCTCACTCAAATCAAAATTGATTTTTTTGCAAGATCTGGCTCCTACCTACATACTAAAGTGAAGAATGATAAGCTGACCAAAGCTTTTGTTAAGTTTCTTATCCAGGACACACAACCAATTAGTCTTGTAGTAAGCCCTAACTTTAGTGAATTCATAAATGAATTAGATTCAAGGTTCAGTTTACCTAATAAAAAACATGTAAAGCAAATAATTCATATATTATATAATAAATCTTTTGAGATTATGCAGAAAAGGCTCAAAGATTCTATAACATATTGTTCACTAACTACTGATTTGTGGACATCTCGTAATAGACAGAAGTATCTTGGTATTACTTGCTCATGGCTAGATTCTGATTTCAAAATCCATGAAGTATTATTTTCTCTTACATATGTTCAATATCCTTATACTGCAAATGTTTTTTTTTTTTTTTTTGGTATTAAGGTGAGGCCTTGCTTATATCTTTATTAATAATTTAAAATAGTTACATGTATA